TGCAGAAAATTTCTATTAGTAATGATAATGCCACTAAAAAAAATTTAAAAGGAGGGCAGGAAATAGGCTTGGGCAGTAAAAAAACAGTCTGGTACATGATGAGTGCGAGATGTCTGAATAACATTCAAATCCACAAAGTATGTATTCCAAAACGGACAGGGAAGTCTAAATTACGAAACGGATTAGAGTAACTATGTGTTTCTTCCTTCCAGAGGAAGAAGAAAAAGAGTAGCCCTCAAAACAATGAGACTAAACAAGGAAAGTTCACAGAGATAGAATTGGAAGCAAATTAGAACCTCAGAAATATTGGCATTTATTAAAAAGGCCACAAATGAGGTAATAAAGTGAAGAAGAAAATTAGAAGAAATTATATCTTAAAAGTCAAAAGAACTGAATTTTTAAAAAGAACTATCAATAATGTCAAGTGCCAAAAAGAAGCAAGTGAAATAAAAATTGGAAATGATCAGTGTAATTATCAATAAGTAGTAAGGACAGAGACAGTACTACAGTGGACAGGAAGTGAGAGAAGCTGGAGAGACAGTAAAAATGGACTATTATTCCAAGAAGCCTGACTGCAAAGAAAATGAAGGTCAGGGAAGAACATGTATTGTACCAGAAGGAGTTGGGGGTCAAAAGTATTTTGTTTGCCTGTGAAATAAAAAAGTTAGGTGTATTTACATGTTTAAAGGAAGAAGCCAGTGGTTGAAGACAAGAGTGGGAAAATATCTGATGGAACATGGTCTAAACATGAATCATAACGGTTTTTACCCTAACCAGCAAAAATAGTAAATTAACAAACTTGAATACAAGAAGAGTTTTTCTTTCTCAGGGAAGAAAATACAGATGTGTGCAAATAAACAGGTGTTACAAATGGAAACAGCACATCATGGAAGGGCTTATACAGCATACTAAAAAAAATTAGGCTTTTATTCAGTGGGCAACCTAGAGCTACAGTATTTTACCATGTACAATACACACTTTTTTCCCAAAATTTTTGAGGGAAAAATACGGATGTACATTGTACACGAGTAGTACCTGAAATACCTTGTATCTGTTTTATGTTTTGTAATTATGTGTTACATAAAATTTCTTGAACCATATGTTGAAAAATAAATGCTAAAATTCTTTTATAATACAAAAAACAAGTACCTAAATATAAATGAATAAAAAAGTGAATTAAAAAATTAAAAGGAGAGATTTTTTTCCCTCAAAGTTTGGGCCAAAAACATGGGTATGCCATATACATGTGAGCACATTATACAGAGCAAAATAAGGTATTTGAAAGCTTTTAAGGAATGACATCTACGGGGGGAGCCGTGGCAATCACCCCAGAGTTTTGATGTTGCCATTTTGAAATAGAAGCTGATTTGAAACACCTAAAAATATGCCAGATATCCAAGAGTAGGAGTATTATGTATCCTCACTTGTGCTTCTTCTTAGTGATGTGCAGCTATTCAAAGATGCTCTGACGGACACATCACAGGTCCCCTAGTCCCTCATAGAGCTTAATTTTCTTTATTGATTTCTTATTTTTATGGGCCACCCTCTAAACAATGGTTTTGATATATTTTTCCTCTTTCTCTGCTCATTAAGAAAAAAGAACATATTAGCAATTTATTTTAGCATTTTCTAGACATTCTTCTTCATTTACACTTTCCTCCAGAACTATGGATAGGAAAAATAAAACATTATATAATACAAAAAAAATTTTACAACAGTAAACATTTTAAGGACAAAATATAGTTTCATGTGTAATAACAAATTTCCAAACTGAATTCTAGGTCAAAGTATTGTCAGGGTTTAAACAATATAATTTGAAAATACCTACTATTTTTTTACTAATGTAACAAAAGAGCTACTTCACAATTCATAACCTCATTATAAAAACTTTCATATATTAACAATTATAAATTATACAAACCAATTTTTTTGAGTAATACAATATTGAGGTATGTAGAAAATGAATTAAACTGGTATCTGCTTCTCCACAATTGTACTAAGTGCTGATAATTCATACCATGATTATGTTATGCATATAACAGAAAAAATTCACTACCCAATTTCAGAATGATTAAATAAGTCACTCAGATGTGTGCAAATAAACTCTATCACTCTATCACTGAAATGTAGAGTCAAGATAATTCAAATAAACCTACTAGAAGATGACATTCTGCAAAACTATTCTTTAAAACAAACTTTTACTTAATTAAAAGTTATAGGTAATTTAGGCCCAAAGTTAAATGACTTTGTTTATCATCAAACTAAGCATAAGGAGACTGTTGATTCTAAACGAATCTCCTGGCTTAGTGTTGAACTGTGCACTGGAATACTGAAAGAATTGCATCAGAGCAAACTATTGTACCTTTGACTAAAAGAATAACACTGAGGAGGAAGAAAGCAAATGAAACCAAATGTCACCTCCGAATTCATCCCACCCCTCCACTTTCCCAATCTTACCCACCTTTAAACAGAAGCACACAGTAAATCACTGGGTATCTAAGTATAAGCCATACACGCTCACATCAATGGTAAAGCAAACCACCATCCCTTGACCAACCCCCCCATCCCCACCTATCTCACCCGCACCCCCCAACTGAAAACTAGCTTCTTCCCAGAAAGCTTCCTAACTTAATGGGGGAGTGGGAGGAGAGGAAAGGCCTCCTTTCCTCGTACTTGTTTTGCCTCCATCTATATGCCTTCTCTCTCTCTCATTGGTCTTGGAGTTCTTCAAGGTCAAAGATTAACCTAAAGCATTTTACTGCTGTTTAACTGTAAGCTTTCTCCATTAAACCACAAATTATTAATCTTTTTCTCCACCTTGCTTAGCACTAAATCCAAAAACAAGCTGATATCTGTTGAATAAATTGTTCATTGTTTAATACTCTTACAAATACAGGGACAGCCCTAAATAGATGACCCAGCTGAACTTTTCAATCACATTTTTAAGTCAATTTTAAATGGTAGTGGTTGGTGGCCAAACTTTTTTAAATGCACCTTGTGAATTATTTTCATATGTAACACTAGAATAACCTGTTTTATATCATAGCTAGTAATTCTTCAATACCTAAAATAAAGGAAATACATGGATAAGTCACTGTGTAGGGTTTTTGCTTAACTTGCTTCTCTGCTATTACTAGTCTCTTACTATGACAACATTACATCTTCTCTAGGGAAAAAACTTCAAACTGTGGAAATTTCCTGACCTAAAACTAGTTTTAAAGGCTTTTAGGTCCCTAATAGCAATACACACATGGTTATCCAGCAGAGGAAATTTCCTCTGTAAACTCAGCCTGTCAAAAAGTAAAGGCAAAATAATTAAATTCTGGGAAGAATTTAATGATTACCCAAAGGCTTTTTTTTCTCTTAGCTAAAACTATGTAGAATCATGCCACACACATAAACTTGATACAATAAAATGCACTTAGCGCCCCTCAAAATATTTTATAGTCAAAAAACCAAATCCTCGCCTAACAAGCAGCTCACTCACATATACTGCCAAAGAAATCTGTAAATGCACTTAAAAGCATACAAATAAAGGAGTTATATATTACTCTCACATAATGCCAGAACACAATAATTTAAATGTCTAAAACTACTTAAAACTTTTCCTATGTAAAACAATGTAATCGTTTTTCTTTTGGTCTCTTTCACAACAATAAAAATTTTAATTTTTTAAGCGCTGGAATGGCTATTCGTTTTACAAAAATTGTTCTCATAATAGATACTGAAAATGAAATACAAGATACTGAATCCTCCAAATACGGATTCATTTTATACTTAACTGAAGATAGGAAGGAATCTGCTTTCTATTTGGGATCTCCATACACTTTCATTACTCCTAAAAAAAAAATTAAAAAGCTGTCCAGTTCAACTCTCTTCCCTCAAAAATCCCTACATATTGCAAAGTAAATGGGCCAAAGAGCGCCTTGGATGCCTCAAGGATCACCAAAGTCAGATAAGTTATCACAAGTATTGCTGCAAAATAAATCAACGGTACGCCAGAGCCGAGTGACACCTTATCAGCTTTCTAAGGGGTCTGTTGGGAAACCACAAACGTAAAGGCAGAAGCCACAAACAATGAAGATTTCGTAGCAAACGAGCTAAATTCAAGAGCTAATCAGGAGCTGACAAACGCCAGGTCTGTTCCTCCCGGAAGGTAAGCTGAAATGTATCAGAGGACTAGGAAAACGTCTACTATTAACCTACTACTATAAATTCGGGGACTGACGCAGAGCTTTCCAGCCCGCACGCGCGCTAGGGTCTCTGCAAACACAACCGGGTAAGCCACAACCAGAAGACTTCAGGGCCTTCCCCGCCTCCCTAGCTTTTGGTGTACTTGACAGCGACTAACAAACGGGACACAAAGGTAGGTAGCAACACAATCGGAGAGGGCCAGGGGCGGGCTCCACCCACCCTCTCCGTGGAAGCAGACGGAGGGAGCAAGGGCCGGAGAGTGGTTCTCTCCGGGGAGCGCGACCAGGGGCCGTCGCGCCGCTGCTAGCCTCACCTCACCTCCGACCTCCTCTGACAGCCGGCGCGGGCGACGGACGCACTTGCGCCAGGCTCAGAGCCCCTCTTTCCAAAGCAGACCACAGCGCACTCTCTAAGGTCACCACCCACCCACACCCTCCCAGACAACGCCCGTCGGCCTTCGGGGAGCAAGGACGAGTGCCAGGAGCGGGCAGTAGCGCGGGCAGCACCAGGAGGCGCCCCCGCGGGGCCGCAAGATGGCGGCGGCGCCAGGGCCGGGGCCCTGCGCGACCAGTTCGGCGCGCTCACCGAGGCGCGAGCGGACAGGAGAGGGAGAGGGCCCGGGGCCGGGCAGGCCTGCGGAGAGCTGACGAGAAGGCGGCCGCTGAAGAGGGAAAGTGCTCGGGCGTGGGGGAGGGGACGCTCACTCGGGCCCCAGCTGCAGACATTCCCTCCACACCCGTCATCCACTCTAAATAGAGCCCTCCGCCCGTCCTATCCCAATCAGGCGCTGCCTTCTTCCTGCCTACCTTTGAATTTGAGGTCTGTGGGAGGGTCGAGGACCAGGATCTGCTCGTGCTTCGCCATGGCCCCAGAGGTGGACGCCATCGGAGAGACAGCGCAAAGCGGGGGCGCGCCCGCTGCGGCGGTTTGCTGGCTGGGGAGGAGGGACGACTGGCTCCCACGAGCTCTATGATGGGGACACTTCACAGCTCCCGCACGCAAACGCCTGCCGCTAAGTCGCGGGCTTAGTGGGCTGCCTGCTAGGTCAGCAGCTCCTGGTCTCAACTGACTCAACCCCACACCAACCACCGCGGCCACGCGCACTGCGATCCACGGCGCCCCACGTGACGACTTCTGCGTGCCTACGTGCGCGCCCCAGCAGCCGGGAGTCCCTAGCGCTCCTCAGGCCCAAGAACTCCGCACAAGCTGAGCGGGTTGGTGCGCCTGCGCGCTCTCGGCCTCACTTCCCTGAGAGTACAGCCGGCTGTCAAGCGAACGGGTGTGGGCAAGGGGCGGAGCTAAGCTCTTTGGGACCCATGCGCGCGCACTGTAGAGCGCAAGGGCACAATACCCTGTTACGTTTAAGGGGCCAATATTACGAAACTGGAGAACATAGTACGGCAGTGCACCAACATCTTCCAACTGGGAATGCCTAATAAAAAGAAGTAGTCAGACTCATTCACAACAACTCCCAGCATGCTCCATACAGAGTAGAGGCTCCGCCCAGGGCCTGGTCCATTTGCGGCACTTCGCGATGCCTACTGGGAATTGTAGTAGTGTTTGGGGGGAATGAGACTGAGGTCCGTTGGTGGCAAATTGGGTGGGGCGAATGACACTCTTTGGCTCTCAGTATCTCGTTTGCGCTAAAAAAATAAAAATACTTTGTAGAAAATATCCCAGGATGTTTCTAATTTGCCCTATAATTCTATCCGTCCCTCTATTGGTAGAGGGAAATTCTCTGTCGGATTCCAGTCTTACCTGTCCTGCTTCCTGATTTCTCTCCAGTGATACAAAAGCTAATGAGGAAACACACCTCGTTTAAGAAACAAACGCGTCGTTGGGGACATCTGACAAGACATTCGTATCAACCTAGAAATAAAAGTCAAAATGTACAGCGTTCAGTTGTAGTCTCTTCTGAGTTATGGTTAATGATAGACCCAAACCAAAACATATGTCAGGTTCACATATTTGAAATTAATTCCATCTGCATCATTTACTGTAGCGTGTAGTAAACTAAGCCAAATGAGAAAAATCCCAGCAGCGAAGTTGCTGACAAATCTTTAACCAGTTGCCAAGGTAATCGGGCACAGGAACATTAAACTAAATAAATGAATGTGCTGTAGATAAACTTTTATAGTACTACCTGAATTTAAATCATTAGAAGCTGTACGAAACGAAAGACTTGCTTGTGCTGCTGCTAATGAGGAGCAATCTGCTTTGTGAAGAAAATAGATGAGATAAATGGAACAGTAGTCTAAGCTTGGGTACAAAGTCCAAGATTTCACCTGCAATCTAGGTGTCAGAGCCCATCTGAGAAAAGCTGTCCAGAATAGGTAGTCTGGCATCCACAGAAGATTGTACTTGGTACATACGGCTAATGAGTGTATCTTCAGCCATGAAAAAGCTCAGAGGATAGGAATGCTTAAACAATTTGAAAAGCATATTTTAAATTTACCTTTACTTTGATTTCTTTTTATTCCCAGTTATTTTTAAAATTTCAATTAGCAATAAAATTAATACAAAAAATATGTTTATGAAAGGGGATCTTAAGATTTTTTACATTCAGACTTACTGCTTTTACCCATATTTTGCTGTGTATTATGCATACTTTTGCCCAAATTTTTAAGGGAAAAAATAAGGATGCACATTATACATGGGTATAACGATTACATGCCATGGTGTGTGTGATAACCCCTTGTATCATGTACACATAAACTTGGGTGAGCATTATACACCGCCAAAATACAGTATTCTGAAATTTGGTTATCAACTTTCTTTATTGTATTTTTTTCCATTACCATTTGTCCCCCTTATACCCTTTCCCTCCTGCAACTACCACACTGTTGTCCATGTCCATGAATACTTTTTCCTTTTTGCTCGATCAAGTTGAGGTTGACATGCCACAGGATGGTGTCCCACATATATTTATTTGTGAACTGACAAGCTTCAAACTGACACAAACTCTTTTTGTTTCTTTCTTTTTTTTTTCTTTTTTTTTTTTTGCTTCCCTAACAAATCTTACCCATGGGCAAGTTAGCCTTGGCTGAACTGGCTCCTCCACAGCTAGATGGACACTTCTCTTACCAGAAGCATAAGGGAATCCATGGTCTGCAAACAGCCAATTAGCAAGTATAACATGCTGAGAACATTACCAGTCACTTTTTTAGGGGACAATGGCTGCCCATTCACCCTGAGTTCAATAGGAAGCTGAAATTTGATGTATTCCAGTTTCCCAGTCTGTCATGAAGAAACCTCTGCTCATTTAAGTCATCACCTCTGGAATCAACTTTTTCTCTTCTCAATATTGCCTCAAAAACCATATAGGTATAGTTTTAATATCTATAGGAATTTAAATATTTGGTAGGCTAAGAATGCACAAAATATCTTTGGAACAATTCTCCTATTCAGTTTTAGAGCATTGCATTTATAGTGACTCAAAGCCCTCCTGAATCTACCCATCATTTAAATAGTGCACTATTTCAGTGGTCTGTGCTTGGGTATTTATTAATGCCTCCGTAATAAGAGTTCAAAGAACTTTATAAATATCATCACATGCAACTCAAAATAACCTTGTAACAGCAATTGTTACTTTTATTGTTTTTTAGTTATATTTTATTAATTATGTTATTACAGTCGTCCCAATTTTCCACCCTTTGCCCCTCTCCACCCAACACTCCACACTCCCTCAGGCAATCCCCACACATTTGTTCATGTCCATGGGTCACACATATAAGTTCTTTGGCTACTCTTTTTCCTATACTGTACTTTATATCCCCATGGCTACTCTGTAACTATCTATTTGTGCTTCTTAATCCCCTCCCCTCTTCACTCATTCCTCACACCTCACTCCCATCTGACAACCATTAAAACGCTCTTGTATCTGTGATTCTGTCTCAGTTCTTCTTGTTTGCTAAGTTTGTTTTTTAGATTCAATTGTTGATAGATATGCGTTTATTGCCATTTTATTGTTCACAGTTTTGATCTTTTTCTAAATAGGTCCCTTTAACATTTCACATAATAGTGGTTTGGTGATGATGAACTTCTTTAGTTTTTCCTTAGCTAAGAAATTCTTTATCCGCCCCTCGATTCTAAACAATATCTTTGCTGGGTAGAGCAATCTTGGCTGTAGGTCCCTGCTTTTCATGACTTTGAATATTTCTTGTCAGTCCTTTCCAACATTCAAAGTTTCTTTTGAGAAACTAGCTGACAGATTTATGGGAACTTCCCTGTAGGTAACTAACTTCTTTTCTCTTGCTACTTTTAAGATTCTGCCTTTCTCTTTAACTTTTGGCACTTTAATTATGATGTGGCTTGGAGTGGGCCTCTTTGCATCTTTTTTGTATCCTCTGTATTTCTGAATTTGCATGTCTATTTCTGTCACCAAATTAGGGAAGTTTTCTTTCCTTATTTTTTCAAATAGATTTCCAATCTCTTGCTCTTTCTCTTCTGCTTCTGGCACCCTTATGATGTGAATGTTGGCATCATTGAGATTGTCCCAGAGGCTGCTTACACTATCCTCATTGTTTCTGGATTCTTTTTTCTTCTTGCTGTTCTGATTGGTTGTTTTTTGCTTCCTTATGTACCAAATCATTGATTTGATTCTTAGCTTCATTCATTCTATTGTTGTTTCCCTTAAAATTGTTCTTTATTTCAATTAGTGTATCTCCCATCTCTGACTGGATCTTTTTTTACACTGTTGAGGTCCTCACTAAATTCCTTGAGCATCTTTATAACCAATGTTTTTGAACTCTGTGTCCGATAGATTGCTTACCTCCATTTTGTTTAGCTCTTCTGGAGCTTTGATCTGTTCTTTCCTTTGAGCCATGTTTCTTTGTCTCCAGATTTTAGCAGCCTCCTTGTGTTTGCTTCTATGTATTAGGTAAAGCTGCTATGACTCCCTGTCTTGGTAACATAGCCTAATGTAGTAGGTGTCCTGTAAGGTCTCATGGCACAGCCTCCCCTATCAGCCAAGCTGGGTACTCGAGGTGCTCCCATCATGTCAGCTGACTACACCCTCCTCTTGTAGTTGAGCCCTGATTGCTCTTGTCAGATCAATGAAAGAGATTTACCCAGGCCAGTCAAGTGCAAGAACCGACTCTGACCATTGACCACCAACCTCCACCCTCTGTGGATGATCAGCTGTGCCAGGGCAGGGTGGTAGTGCTCTAATGTGGTCTGTAGCTATACACTGGGCACACATAGTCTGGGGTTTCCCGGACAGTGAAGGGCAAGGTCAACCACCACCAGTGTTCTGCTCGGGTCCACCCTTCATGAGCTGTAAAGTGCTCTGAGATGGATGCTACTTGTGGTGGACTTGGAGATACCCGGGCAATGCCAAGCTGTGAATCTAGGTAGGCTGCTGCTAGTGTCAGGCCTGGGGCCACTTAAGAGGTATGAGGGCTAGGGGCTTACTGAGGTTGGCTATTGCTTGCTTGATAGGATTTAGGAAGTTGTGAAGCATGAGCCAAGACCAGCCATTCATATGGGAAAGTATGGTTAACAGTTTGGTGGGCCCTTAAGTTGGGGGGACAGGGTCTCAAGGGACATCTGGGTGGGGACAGTGTTAGCCAGGTTCATGGAGTCTCAGATATGGCACCCACCTGCCAGCTCTGTGGCTCTGTCGAGAAGAGTTCAGAAAGGGGGCAATGGCCTCTGCCCACTGTTCTGTCTGGGAGAAGGCTATCCCCCAGCTCCTGGCTTGATGCCAGACACTTCAGTTCTTCCTTGTATGCCATTGGTGCCTTTCAAGCTGCCACTCCAGTCCTGGAGCTCAGAAGAGGAAGTCTGAGTACGTTTCTGTGTGGCTTCTTTAAAGGGAACTTCTTGGGACTCCAGAGGTTTCTTCCACCAACTCAATCCCTGTTGGTTTTTGCAGTCAAAAGTTATGGGGACTTATCTTTCTAGCATTGGAACCTTTGGCTGCAGGGTGTGATGTGGGTCTGGGACTCCTCACTCCCAGGATATTCTTCCTGAATTTATATCCACCACACATGGTGTGAGACCAGCCCATTCCATGTATCTGCCCCTCCCACCAGCCTGGATGGTTTCTTTAATTTTGTAGTTGTTAAACTTCCATTAAACTTGATTTCTGACAGTTCTGAGTGATGGTTGTTCTGTATTTTAGTTGTAA